GAACAAAAAGACACATAAATGTAAGCATTTTTTGGCATTAATAAAGATTTTAACAAAAAGTAATCATTTGTTTTATGCTACATTCAATCGTGAGTTCATATTTACGGTCATGTTACTCAAAGAAATGTTTGCAAAAAATCGCTAATATTTGCAAACTAACATCATATCATTATAGACTGCACGATAGTGCCACAACATATTTTCATGTCTGATCAGGGCGATAACCACCGTAGGGGGGCTAGGGGGCTAGTCCCCCCAATAACTATAAATCGCTAAACCCTTTTCTCAAATATTGCCAATTCGAGAGAGAGAGAGAGAGAGAGAGAGAGAGATGAAAGTTACGTGTATTTGCGTCTGTGCGTTTCTCTTTTTAGAGTGAGTTTACTTAAAAAAACAGCGATTTTATCCTCTTGTTGCTGGAAAGTATAATGTATTATTAATAAAACTCGTGGGGCAGCGTTGACAAGTTTATTTTCTCCTGGATGTGTGAGCTGCGCGATATCTGATGTGTGTGTGTGTCAGTAAGCAGCGCATTAATAAAGAACGGTAATTAAAGACTAATGCACACCAGTATAGGTGTGTGTATTGTAGGAGCTAGACGACATATGATGACGTGTGACGGCATAGTAGTGGTGTCCCAATTCTTAGGGGAATATTTTCACCCCTACCCCTTGACACTCTGTTTCAAGGGACAAGGGGAAGGGGTAGGCGGAGGGGTAGGTGAAGGGGAAGGGGAAGGGGAAGGGATATACAATAGAATTGGGATTGGGCCTTACAGTACAATTCTCTGTAGAATTAGACTAACATCCAAATCCAAATTCTGTAGCTGTGAACAAAACCAAACCAGAGGATCTTGAGAACATCCAACTCAGAATAAGTTTTTTGGGGCCTATGATGGACAAGTTACTTTGAGGACTGGTTGAATCTCAAAGAGCATAAGAAGACAACAATCATGAGCTTTCAGACACAGAAAGTATCCAAAGAGTTTATGGTTGATATCTTTTTAGTCCGATAATGGAAGTCAACTTCAAATCACTGGAAAAAAGTTCAAATTAACATAATTGTGGCTATTTTAGGCACTGATCCACCTGACTGAAAATTATATTAATATTGGGGTGATTTTTCGCTAGTTCCCTACATTACAGGCATACTTTAGTTTTAGCATCTAAGAGAAACAGATGAAGAACAAACAGTTAAAACAGGTTAATCATTTTAAAACAGAAGAGCAGGAACACTATTTCCACAGTTGGAAATAAGTCACATGCTTATCATGTGCTGAACCTGACCATTCAATGTTTTTAACCTCTTAAATATGCAAATAAGAATATTAAACCAGTGTTTGCAAATGTAGGAGACCATGTAAAGGCTGTACGGGGTTCAGAATAATACAAAGTGTGAAAAAAGTTCAAAATATTATTACTAAATTCATGTTCCATGGAATTTACATGGCCCTCCAAGTAACAGTACACTCTTAAAAATAAAGGTGCTTCACACTGCCATAGAATAACCTTTTTGTCTAAATGGTTCTATAAAGAACCTTTAACATCTGAAGAACCTTTCTGTTTCACAAAAGGTTCTTTGGGGCGAAAGAAGGTTCTTCAGATTATAAAAAGCTAAGAAAGAGATGGTTCTTTAAAGAACCTTTGACTGAATGGTTCTTTGTGGAACCAAAAATGGTTCTTCTATGGCATCGCTTGAAGAACCTTTTGAAGCACCTTTATTTTTAAGAGTGTACTATGTATGGGGGGAAAAAAACATTAATGTATTATGCTCATGATCTGAATAAAATTTTTCATATACTATGACATTTATGTTTATGGTACACTTTCATAGTATATTATAGCACTACCATGAAAATGTGCATGTAAAAATCTGCCTAGAAAAACTTATGAAACAATATTATATAAAGCGCTAAAGAAAAAATACTGCTCTGTCAGCAAACCCATTCTGAATTGTCTAAACTGACATGTTAATTCCAGCCTCATTTCCACATCAACTTCTGCAGCAGCTGTGCAGTTTAACTTCTACAGCTTGTGTCATTTACAGTAAGCGATATGAAGCTTGTGTTCTCCCAGCAGGAAGCGCTGTGCCAAACTAACATTATTCAACATTGCAAGAGCACAGAAAACCCTACTATAAACTATAAGTAATAACATGGCAAACCATCTTAAGAGTTCCACTTCTGAGAAGGAGCGCAGGCCGTTGTGTAACGTGTTTATTGTTTCACGTTCTCCTCACTGCTCGTGTTCACCGCCCCCTCACTTCTGCTGGCTGATTGGTTAATGAGCTCAGCTGTACTCTGAGATGAGGTGAAGTGATCCCCTCCTACACTACAATTGAGAGTTCAACACGACAACAGCCAAACTCTGTCACCATTCATCAAGACGCCAATATAATGTATTAACATAACATTATATATTCATATAAAAGAAAACTCACAAGCGGCATCTTTTTAATTGCTGAACTTTTTTTTTTCTAAACAAGCCGTAAGACACTCATAGGGTTTTCATAAGATTCCACCAATATGGGATTTTTCAAACCGATATTAAGACAGCAGTTTGAATGATAGCTTATATAAACAACACACAATAGCAAATAACCCCAAGTGGTGTGGAAGGCAAAAAGTTATTAGTTGGTTAATGAGATACAGTGACTAGTATTACTCTGGTTAAGAGGTCGAAGCACGCCAGCTCCCATGTAGAATAAGAATATTATTAGGTTACCAATATAACCGGAGTCTTCATCTCACATTAAAAGTACTTTTCATTTCTTTAATAAACAGTGAGACTGAGGGGAAAAATACTGATTATAACCTTTAATTGGACTCTATTTAAACGCAAAATTAAATATAAATTCACAAAAACCAAATTGAATTTGAAACCAGAAAATGTGCATCTATTGACAAGGCTGTGTGTAGATTTTGTAAGTGGAACGACAAGAGTAATCGACCTATGGGTGACTGATGCTGGCCAAAGATATCTGATGCTGCTTTCAATTGCACTTGGGAAACGTGGACCGTTTGATGTTATCACATGTCACAGATTCAAGTTTGAAGCATTGTAAACCCCCCAAAAAATTACATTTGAATTTCAAACATGAAAATTATTCATTTATATCTATTTATTTGTATATGGTAAATGTATGTGTTACACAGTTAACAAACTGTAAAAGATAAATTAACTTCCTTGCTGTCTATCACCTGTTATTACACCTTCATATCATATAAAATGTAAATAACTTGTGAAATCATTCATTCAAATTCACATCAGACTTGCTTTCCACTCACTGGTCCACTTTTCCACGACATTCTAATTTATTGAGATGCACCTGTAGATAGGTTTTTGTTTTTTTTCTGAGAAAATATGACTTTGCTTGTTCATTCATGTCCTTGGAACTCAAATTTGCCAGTGTTGTGGTTACAAGTAATACACTGGCATGAGTTATGTACTCAAATGACCCTTTTCAGGTAACTAGCAAAGTAACACATTACTTTTGAATTGACAAGAAAATTAATGCAAGTTACTTTGTTTTCCCATTTATTAACTGATAGCTCTCTTGTCCACATGTCAAGAGAAATTGGGAGCGAGGTTCTTTCCATAAAAAAGTAACTAAGTAATGCAATTAGTTACTTTTTTTAATTAAGTAACACAATATTGTAATGCATTAACTTTCCCCAACACTGGTAATTACTACTGGTAATATTTTCCACTTGAAGTTCACACAAGTCTGCAATCAATGGTCTGTGTTCTCAATATGAACTAAAAACATTTATCATCAAATTCTCCTTTTTTGTGTCTACTTTTACTTCTCCTCAATAAGGGGAAGAAATATAGTATTTTAGACACCGTTGACACTTAATAGAGTTCTCAGTTATATTTTATTTACGTTTCTGAAGCAATGAAATAACAATTTTTGAGAAGTAACATTTTCATCTCAGTCACATCTTGGATCTTAAACACATTTGGAAATGAAGCTTCACTGTCACAACAAAGGCAACCTCTTGACAACTTTAAGTCATCATATGTGTTCATGAAACAACTGAACAAATTTAGGCCTGCTCTCGTAACGAGGCTAACATCACTGTAAGATGTCAGCCTTGTCTTCAAAATCCTTCCCACAAGCCTTGTCTTCTGTGGCACATAGCATTTGGGATATCTGACAGAGGGATGTGGTAATGGAGGGTACGGCTCTGAGAGACATCAAAGCAAACAGGAAGTGCAGCAGAGCGGTGCAAGGGCTCTTAATTTGGCAGAGGCCTCTGAAGATAGACGTTTAAATGAAACTCATTAGCATACTGCTGAGGAGAGACGGCTGGAACAAGCAGACACATAAACACTTCAGCTGCACTAAAACACATTTCTGTCACTTCAAATGAAACAAATAGCTCAGATGCAAGCGTTTTCCATATGCAGTATAGTTGCGTCGTTTAATGGAAAACAGGATTTTTCTTGCCTTTTTAAAATAAAAAAAGGTATGTGTACTACATAGAGACACTGCAGAAATGTTTTGGGGTCAGCAATTTTTATTTGTATTCTTTTTTTTGAAAGGAGTCTCTTATACTCTCCAAGGCTGCATTTATTTGACCAAAAATCACTCCAGTCTTCATTCTAATATGCTGATTTGCTGCTCAAGAAAGATTTATAATCAAAATTGAAAACAGTGATGCTTAATGTTTTACTGGAAACCATGACACTTTTTTTTCAAGAGACTTTGATGAACAGAAAGTTCAAAAGAACAGCATTTACTTGAATTAAGACTTGTAAGTCTGTTTAATTATTTTGCCCGTTTAAATGTCTGGCGTGTAAAAATAAAATTTTTTGGGGTGTGTGTGTTGCGGGTATTGCTAAGGGTTAGGGATTTTCACTAACCATAACTGGGAACAACAGAGAGATACCAAAACAGAGATGCCAATGGTGAACAACTCAAATAACAAGAGGTAAAAGTGTTGAACAGTTAGTGTGAGTCACTCTCAGGTACATAAACGAGAGCATGAACTGTTTCATGAGTCTGACATTTGGGCACATGTGCTCTTATCTGAGGTCTAATCTTTTTTTCAACAGTTCTTCGAAAGGCCAACTAAAACAGAGATAGCGAGGGAAATCTTCCAGACCCTCAGAAACAGCAACCGTTACCGTGTCAGCCTGCGTTCTGCTACTGCTCACTCTGTGACGAAAACATCCACTTCTGTTTTCCACCGCTCTCGCCCGTCAACTCAAACTGCAGCTGTCAGACTGTTTACGTTCTCCTTGCCAGCGGCTCACTAACTCCACCGGCTCGCTCAAGCTCACCCTTCAGTCACAGCGTCGCTCTCTTCATTTCTGGACATGGCAAGACTCTCCAGTTAAAGTGGCACCTGACTTCAAAGGCCCGAAGGAGACGATGAAGAGATGGGCAGAACATCTGCATTAGACAGCTGATTTATTCTGTGCCAGTGCTGAAGAGGGCAGACACAAAGCTATGCTGTTAACAGAGAGCGGTTAGAGCGCAGTGGTGATGTCAGAACTGTTAGCACTGACCCTTGAAGAAGAGAAACCCAGACAAAACAGAACCAAATTTGGACAGAGAACGACAAGAAGGTTGTGTGCTCCCAAAAGCTCTTCGCAACTTATTTTATTTCTGTGATTTGATG